TAGTTGTTCAAATAGTAAAAGACAGGGTCCAGGGTGACATTTATAAATTGAAACCAAACTTTTACAGATTTCATAATCCTCAATTTCACCCCAAAAGGAATAGCTAACTTAAATTGACAACTATTATACACTGTATATCTATCCAACTTACCCGTATACATAAGACTATGATCTTCTGCCAGGAACATCAGACCAATCTGCTGCTGTCCAGATTCAGGTGGTTTGTCTTCGTCTGGCATCTCAGCTGAGACCTGTTCACTATGGGAGACCCTACCAGCAGTTGAAGTACCAGTGGTGTAGCTCTCAGCATCACTGATGCACACAAGCCCTCACAGCACGTCAAGCTGCAAACCGTGTGAGGGACCCTAACCGAACTGTTAAAACCAACCGCAACTCAACCAACCACTCATAACTAACAACAACGCATAACACATAACTAGCAATGCCCGAAAAACACTCAGAGGAGGCCAGCAACCGTAAATCAACCTAACAGCCACACAGAAAACCTTGGCAAAACCATGTGAACGCACAGGAGACCTCTCAAAACATCCTGACAACCACGTAGCAAAGCGCTGAAAACCAATCAGAACATGTGCTGAAAACTTACAATCTATAAACTTAAACTTAATAAATGAAACTTACTCTACAAACAAAAACTTACTCTACAAATAAAACTTACTTTACAAACTATAAACTTACTACTATATACAGTATATACTTCAGGCTCCATGTGACACTGATGACTCTGATCACATGTCTGGGCTTCTTTCAGGCAGGGGCTCTTCGCTGATGTCCACGTGAATTCGAGGGGCGAAGCTTCTGTTATTCGTGGAGAAGCTTATGGTGATCAGGATGCATCCATCAGGCTGCTCTATCTCCACTAGTGAGGGGCAGCTGAGTGTCTCCCATAGACGCTGCTTAATCTTCACTCCCAGCTTAAGGCTGTAGGGACAGCGTCCACCACAGCGTGTCTTCATCATAGGCTCAGCCACAGAGTGGTAAATGTCCTGGTAGCCCTGAATGCTGCGGCCGTGAATGGAGATAGACTTTTCCTGCTGACACAGAGGTGTCACTGAAGAGACTAATGCTGCTGGACAGATGTTGGGAAGGACAGCAGCGTTCTTTAGGTAGCGCTCTTCCAGACCATTGAGCTTTCGCAGAGATGCAGCTGTAAGAGTGGTCCAACCTGATTATAGCTGCCAGCTGTGAAAGCTCACATGGGTCTTGAATGGAAGAGACACCCTCCACTACGAATCCCCTCAGATGAGTGGGAAGAGCCCTGGGTCTTCTCAAGCGATGCTGCTCCATGCTAATGAATCAAGAAAAACTTCACAAACCCAACAAATTACTGACACTCACCAAATTGCAGTCGTGAAGAGTTTGTAGCAGAGCTTGATCATATTCAAGGCTTCAGAAACATTTGCTGATTTTCAAATATCAGCTCAAGCTGCTGTACTGATGTAGAATGTTGAGATTCATTTGAATGTAAACAACACTTGATGTTATCAATAAGCCAATTAGAGCAGCATGAGCTCTGTTACGTACTATATGCTTCTCTTTTACCATTATCATCCTCATTTACAGTTTTGTATGTGCAGTCCTCATCTGTGTGTGTATGGCTGTCTGTTAAGGTCAGAATCACTATTAGGAGCTGCTCTATGTTAGTGGTTCATGAATGAATCTGTGTGCTGAATGAATCTTTTATGTGAATGAATCATTCTTACACTGAATCATATCTTTAATTCACTGAAGTTTCTTCCTTAGAAAGTGCACAACTGCTTTGATGGCTTTTCATGCCTCCACAGACTGACTATAGCACAAGCTGGTATTGAAGAGCGGCCTGTACAAGGAGCATTTCATTGGTTGTGAATCTACTGAACAAATCTGTGTTTTCAATCATCAAGGCCATTTGACTGCTCACCTGGTTCTATTTTTTCTCTCATCATAAAGTAAATTAATAAACCATCTTTATGTATTTATTTTAATGAGAGCAAGTGTATCCATGACTCTTAAAAGCGAAAACAAATGACTAGTTTGTGTTGGTCCTCATGGAGGTGACAAATGTATGTATTGTGAGGAGGATCTTGCTGGAGGATTTGATAGAGACTGGTGAAATGAAAGAGTAAAGACTAATACATTGTGTTTACCATGATTGTTCATAACTGTTGTAATTTTAAAATTATTATCGTTATAGCGAAAATCACTTGATTTACTTTAGAAACATTTTTGAAAAGGAAAAGGCAGTAAATCAGAATCAGAATCAGCTTTATTCATCAAGTGTGCGCAAACACACAAGGAATTTGTTGTGGTTTTTAAGAAGCTCTTGGTACATACATGCATACATACATACATACATATATATATACACATACATATCTAACATGAGAACAGAAACATTTAAATAAGACTTAACAATAAATAATAATGTGTATGAATCTGGAACAGAAGATTTATGTACATATTTGTGCATTATTTACTCTCTATATACAGCTGTATAAAAAATATGCATATGTATTAGTACTTGAGAGAGAGGCAATAATTAGAGATGGAGAATGAATTACAGGCATGAATTACAGAACACAGGTAATAATTCCTGTGTCAGCTGTTTAGGCTGGAGATGGCATGGGGGAAAAACTGTTTTTATGCTAGATGTTCTAGTGCGCAGAGATCTGTAGCGTCTGCCTGAAGGGAGAAGTACAAACAGGTTGTGTCCGGGGTGAGAGGGGTCTTTGATGATGTTACCTGCCCGTTTCTTCACTCTGGAGTTGTACAAGTCCTGAAGATTGGGCAGGTGGACACCAATGAACCTTTCTGAGGTCCTAACCGCCC